TTATTTTGTTTATTTTATTTTTCTTTAAATTATTTAATTAAATTTAAATATTATTCTTTTCTTTCCTTTCACCTTCTTTTTATCAAAACAAAACTAACATTATCCTTTTGTTTTCTCTTACTTCTCCTCCCGTCCTTCCTTTTCCTTCCCCCCTCTCTTTCCTTTCTTTTGCTATTTTTTATAAAATAGACGGTAGGAGAAGCAATAGCAAGCAAGAAGAACGCCAACAATTGGATTGTAAGGGAAAATTCAAATTCAATCGCTATCCCACCCTGTCTCCCCACCTTGGTGATTTCTCACTCTCCAGTTGCTTCACCACAGCGACAATCTGCGAATTCCAACCTCACAGAGTAGTTTAAGGTAAGCTCTAAATCAATAGCTAGCTTTGGTTCTTGTGGATTATTGTAATTTTTACTTTCTTGGATTTCGGGAAGCTTTTTCATGGTTGTTCCAGCTTGAGGACACCAGAAAGCAAGTAGTAACCCACTCGTTTATGGCAATTTGAGAATTAGAATCTCCCTGTGAAATTCCGTGTTAATCTAAGAGTTTTGGGTAGTTTAAATGGGTAGGCAAACATCCACGAGGTGAGTTTTCTGATTTGGGTCCATATAAAAAGGGTGTCTCTCTTGAGGAAAAATTGGATTCCAGCCCACCAAAATTCCTCCTAAGCTCTCGCTCCCCTATGCTCTTCTCCCATTCTTTAGTCAGTTTATTGTTTCTAAGTCAGATTGTAGTACTCAAAGCTGTAAAGAGCCTTAGAATTGTAAGTGGAGCTTGAGAATTTATTGTTGAGTGTCGTCTGTTCTTGACTTGAGCTATTTAATAAGGACAATTTTAGTGTTGAAGGTCTTTGATCCATGGTACTGCTTCTCATTTTCTCATAATATTAAAATTTTCCTGGATTTTGCAGAGTTGGTTTAGTCATGTGCCTGCATTTTTATTTGTAAGTGTGGTTGTATTATCTGATTTCTAAACCTGCCAAATGGTCATTTAAACTATGCTGTTGTTCCTTTATTCCATGCCGGTGCCCTCTAATTGCATCAGTATATATTCTGGGTTGTCTGCACCAATATTGATAGCTAAAGCAACATGCCTCTCTTGCCTTGATCCAATAAATGTTTTTGCTTAGACGAAGTCTAATAGATGCTCCTCATTTTCTCTCTTTCCATCAATTTCATTTGTATTTCTTCATACCCACACCACCCAGGATACCACCAAAAATACTAATGCTGCAATTTCAATGTTTCCTCCACATCTCTTCCCAACCAAAATATATTGTCCCAATTCCTGCACGCTACTAGGTAGAACACTCTACATTCCCCACCAACCCAAAACACTCACCTTAATAACCATGTCCTCCTACACCTGCAAAAAGGATTATCTTGATCTTCCCTTTCGTTACTACATAATGTATATCTCAAACCATCCCCAATTAATTAAGTCCACCCCATTAACCATGTCCTTTATCTGTATGTGGCAATGTCTAAGATTGCACCATCTATCACAATCCATAACCATAATGCACATCTCCAACCATACTCAATATATAAGGCTGTCAATTTTGCTGCTGTGGATTGGCTACCTCGTGATGGGTTTGGAGCAGAGTTGTATTATCTGTATCACAAGGCTGCCGTATTGTTTCATGAGGAGCTAGTGTGGTAACCAAAGTGTTAGTAAGTCCCTTTATCTGTGTATTTTATTTAGCAAAACTATCATTAAAGAGGACAATTTCATATTTTCATTAATAAGGAAAGTTATATGATGATTACTAAAAGGTATATAAAATCACCATAAATTTATTCTGAACTTTGGTTAGAATCACATATTGTGCTAGTTCATCATTTATTTAGTTTGCCATATATTTTGCTAATTGTGTGAAGGAAAGTAAGAAGGTCCTGCTAGAAGAAGGTAGAGCAAGATTTAGGCCTTTTTATTTTTATTTTTTCCCTTTTCTATATGTAATAAGACATTGAAATGGAATGATCTAGTTGCATTGATGATTTCGTTTTTCCTTTACATTAGTTGGATGGAGCCTAATCACTCATTGCAGTGGTTAATTGGTTTTTTTATTTTTTGTCCTTACCAGAGTGATTGAGAATTTAGGATAGCAGAGCATCATCTTACTTGAGGAAAGAGTTGCTTAGGATATGTACTAAGGAAAGAACCTGGAGAGAGAAACAATGGAAAAGTGGCATAATAAGATCATTTAACATATAGCCAGCCCTACACACAACCACAACTAGCTTTAGCATTTTTAAATCTTATTAGCAATTATTAGCAATTGCTCACTTTAGCTTAGAGATTTCAGTTTTTAGCATAGTGCCTAGTAGATTTAAGTTGTTTTCAACATTTCAGTTTTTAGCACAGTTTCTGGTAGAGTTAGGTTGTTTTCAATATTTAAATAGCCAAATTAGTTCATTTAGTTGCTTTTGCAATTTTCTTTCGTGTAATGAATCACAAGCTTTTCAATTTCTATAAGGTACTATTTCTTTTCTAATTGATATTTAATTAAGGTTTATGATAAGTAGCATCTCCTTAAATGATTACTTATATGACATTCACGCCTCTTCTTAGTTTTTGGCATTTTAGTTTAATCTCTGTTCATATTAGTTTCATGATCATTTAGGATTAAAGTTCTAATTCTATGGTAGTTTAATTTCTAGTTCTATCCATAGATCATAATTTAATCTGACAATAAACATGCTTAGTTTAACTTAGATGCATCTTTTTTTACAAGTTCACTTGGATTTGCATTTTAGTTCCTTTAAGATCTGTTAACTTTAATTCATGGTAGTATTTAAGTTCTTGGAACTGTCCAAGGTAGATTAGTAATTTATGCTATAGGAAGGTATCTTGCTTTCTTGCAAATCATTTAAAGGCAAATATTATAATTTTAAACCAACATTCTTCTAGCCATTCTCCTGGAGGTCAATTGCGAGAAATAAGAGGGTCATTGGAAAAATCTTTTTTTTCTTGCTTTATCAAAAAGCAAGTGGCATGCCTCATAACTCAAGTCTGCCATGCGTGTGTGCCACTCTAAGAATTTTTAGGAAATAGTATGATATTGGGATATTTGCTCCTGCAGATGTGAAGGTACAGCAACAAAACCGTATTTGGCAGCACACCATCAGATTTTGGCTCATGCAAAAGCTGTTTCAATATACAAGAGCAAGTACAAGGTACGTACATGGTTGAATGTTCGTATTTTGTTTTTCTGCTAAAAAGATACTCTTATATAAATAATCTGAAGAGAAAATTGATTTTTTTTTGCTATCCCTTTGTTCCAAGAAAAGCAAGGGGAACAAATAGGTTTACTGGTGGATTGTGAATGGGCAGAGGCTAATTCTGACAAAATTGAAGATAAATGTGCTGCAAAAAGGCGCCTTGATTTTCAGATGGGACAGTAGTTTCCTGAACTCAATTACCCTTCTTTCTTTCTAGATGTCAAGTTAAACATTGTTTCATTGACCGTATGCAAATTAATAGACTTGCAATATAGAGATTTTATTTGAATTACATAGCTCAAACATATAATAATCCCACAATATATGTGACTGAAAATGGTACCGTACTCCCCTTCTCCTATAGCAATAATAATTGATTTATGACTTCAATTTAGCATATATGTTTTACATGCTGATCTGTGGTTACCACAATGTCAGCTGTGTGACGGTATGTATTATTTTCTTGAATCCTCAGTAACTGCTGTTCGACAGGTATGGATGATGAAGATAACAGTAGTTTGACTCTCCATGATGCATTGGATGACAAATTGAGGGTTCACTATTTTAAGGGATACCTTGCAGCATTTGCTCAGGCAATCAAGTCAGAACCCTTTTGACCTTCTTATTAGATAAGAGGGTGTTATTTACTCATATTTACTTTAAAAGCAATTTTAAATCACATCATAATTGTATTTGAGCATTCTTGATCTCATGCCAAGTAAGCTGTGTTATGTTGGTTTTTACTGGGTGATTTACCATTGCTAATGCTTCTCATTTGGTTTGCCAACAATGACTAGTTAGATTAGACATAGAAACTTCAAATGAAATAAAGGGTGACTAAATCAACAATTAGAGGCAACACTCAATGGGAAAACAAAATAGATAAGTGTGTTTATCATTTGCATGGACAGGGATGGAGTAGATGTCAGGGGTTACTTTGCTTGGCCGCTATTGGACAACTTTGAGTGGGCGCAAGGCTATACTAAGTGCTCTGGTATAGTTTTTGTGGATTACAAGAATGGTCTCACCCGGCATCCAAAATCTTCTGCATATTGGTTCTCAAAGTTCTTGAAAGGCGGTGAGAATAAAGCTGGCAAAGAAAACTAGATCCCTGTAGAAGTGGATCCTCTTCCTCCCTCTTACTCAAGTCTGGGTTATCATATTTGATGCAGCTTGGTAATACTGTAGTAGGAGATGATGCATTAGGTGAGTTTGTGGATCACGTAGATTCCACAGGGATGCCACTTTCTCTATGTAGCACCTATTATGTTTTGTGGTCCAAATTAAGCATTTGAGGACACTTTGTAATATTACAATAATATGAGGACCCTTGTACCATAAGAACATCTTATTATATAAATAGTTATATCCTTATGGGTGTTTGTGGATCATGTACATTGTAGCATACCAATAACTTCAACAAATGGATGCCACTGTGTCTCTATGTAGCACGTATTGTGTGGTCCAAATTAAGCATTTGAGAAAACTTTGAAAAATCTCAATAATATAGAGGATCCTCGTACCAGAAGAACATCATATTATATGAATAGTTATATGATTATTAAAAAAAAGAAAAAGAAAAAGAGTAGTTATATCATCATGGATCTCCATTAAAAAGATGATGAAGTGAAAAAAAAAAAAAAACTATATTTTAGGGACATGTTTCAGAATTCGTACAGATGTCTTATATTTGGACTTCTATGGTTCCATGTAAGTCGTAAAAAATTTAAAATTTAATATATTAGTAGCATAAAAGTATTTCAAATAAAATCGTAATTTCCATAGTTTTAAGGTAGACGTTTTAAAAGTTAAAAGGGTTTAAGTTTTCATACTAACTTTTTATATTAAAAATTTTAAGTGCTATCTTAATCTTTGAAGATAAAGGTGGGAAAGATTTAAACTCTTTAAAGTTTGAAGACATAAATTTCATCGGATATGAGAACCCAGATTCGCATAAAATATAGTAGCTTTGTCCAAATTATTAGTTTAAGGCTAATGAAGACTCATTTTCCACCCAAAAAAAAAAAAAAAACTGTAACCTGATTTCTATTTAACAATAAAGGTAAATTTGGTACAATACTCCTTCGGTTAAACTTTAGTTGCCTCAATTTTTTTCTATAATAAAATAAAGATACAATAATTAATTAATAATAAAATTTTATATTTATTCCTAATCACTACTACTTAAATAAATTTTTTATTATAACGTATGTTGTATTATTTTCTTAATTGTCATCGTACAAAGTAAAAATAAGCAATAAACTTCAAATGTCTTAAATTAAAAATTAAATTAATTAAAGTTGAATGGATTGACTAGTACTAGTATTTAAGTACCTTTTAATTGAAAAGTGAATCAATTAATTTCAACCAACTTTATTTAGCAAGTGAGACAACAAAATCAAACAAAAAAATTATATTTCTTTCATCATTTTTAATAGTTATAGTTTTTTTTTTTTTTGACATTTTAGACAAATTTGAAATAAAAATTTAACATGTTAAATAACTAATCATTAAAATTTTTGTATTAAATAAAAATCCCGATAAGAACTTCATATAGTAACAAAAAAATGTTTCAATTATTAGAGTAAGTTATTAAATTTTCTTTTAAAATTTGTCTAAAAAATTAAAAAAAAAATGCATAACAGTCCTGATTTCTAAAAGGATCAAACTCT